ATTCTCTTTTAAATTTTTACTACCAAAACTTTTTTCGCTTTGCTATTGTGGTTACTAATTGATGCCCTTGTCCAAGTACTTGTGGGAATACCTAATTTTATTCTAGTGAGCTTATATAGACATGCTCTTGTGCTTGGAAAATTGGCAACAGCTATATGATCCTACCTCTTTCAAAAGGCACATTAGTATCTTATAAAAGGGAAAGGAGGTAGTATGAGAATTAAAAGAAGCTATATCCATCATCTTATAAATACAAATGGAATCAGAATAATACACGAACCTTTGGCCCAGGTATGATGGTACCATTAAGGGGATGACTTGCACATGTGGTAACACCTTCAGACAATGGAACAAAAAATATTTTTCTCTTTGGTGGTTCATCTCAGACAAACTTCCTAGATTCTCCCTAAAACAACAAAAGATACACACAATATTTTGAAAAGGAAAATCAACTCCAAAAAGCAACATGCACCAGTCAGGTTGTTTCTTATGATTTTGTACATAAATATATTTGCATGCCAGTGGACTTGAGTGTATACATTACTACATATATAAGGCAATGCATGAACATGCACCCTCCCATGAGTGGTGTCCACTACATGAAAGTAACTTCAATATAAATATCTGATGTAGCATCAAAAGAGAAGCCTATTGCAACCCTTTACCCCGCTTTTGGGCCATGGTGAGAAATTAATAGTATGTTGGTAACAAGACATTAAAATAAAGACTGTTAAATACACCAAGGAGAGCACCCAAAAAAATAAGCAAACATTTATGACTACATGGATAGAACAGCTTGTTTTGATTCACTCTTACTCACACAAGAACAATATTAAGATTTGACATGCTTTCATCTAACAAGCAAATGTAAGCCATGTGTCCATCCAAAATAACCAATTCAACCTCCAGAGAACCTGATGGCTAATGTAAGAAAGTGTAAGGAGCCCTTAGTCCACATGGCTGGGAGAACTTGTATCGGGATAGAAATCTAAATTATGAATGCCAGAGTCATATGATGATCCTACTACATAAATCTGCGCCAGACAAATAATAGTGTGAGATTTTTTTTTCATTTAAATGAGTAAAACAATAATGGGCTCCAAGGAGAGCATTACTGTTTGAGCACCTACTGTTAAAAAAATCCTAGAAAAGGTTGTGCAATGCATATACTGCTAAGTATTGGGAGCATATCACCTACAATAATTGTATTACAATTAACCAATCGGAATTTAGAGTTACGTTGGATCCACCAAAATATTATACAGAGCTCATACTTATAAATGGTGAAAACCTACATGATTTTTTATTGTGATTGGATAGTTGTAAGATTATATTAAAAAGAATTGTAGGTGAAAATTTCCCCTAAATATTGAATGATACTGTTAATTAAAACAGTACTGCATTCCTTAAAACTGTATGCAAGGCAACAATCATAGAATAAGTTGTCAAAAGTATGAAACTGTAGCATTATACATAGTCAAAAAGAATATGAAGCATTATATAAAGAGGATCAGTTGATTGTTGCATAATGCTCAAAAGTTAGGTTTCCTTTAATGTGACCAAAAACTTATTTCCCCTTCAAGGATCTTGACAGACATGCCTCTGATTATCCTGAGTTTTGTGACCAATTGCACATAGTTGTAATTGCAAACCAAATAATTTTTTGTCACATTAAAGAAAGGAAAAATGAACAATGAAAACCCAACAATAAAAAGAAATCAAAAAAGAAAAAAAGAAGTCTTACAGAAGATGTTGGTAGCCACGATGGTTTTCTAAGTATAGTAGATCAGTTAATATGCTGGCTCCATTCCTTAATATTCAAATTTAAAAATAAAAAAAAAAGAACAACAGGTAAATGTCCAGATCATGCACAAGCTCCCAATATCTTGCTATATATAAATAAATGACAACATTGTAAATGTATTCAACTTTACTTACAACCAAGCCAGAGAGGGGCAATGAACAAGTATAACACTTAAATTGTAAATATCCAAAACACCTGACCTGCATGACATGAGGATTTGAAAAGAAGAAAATGTCAAAGTTGGGGCTTCGAATCTTCTTGTTCTCCAAAGCAAATTACTGTAGTGGAAAATGGACATTTTAATTATGAGATAAATACAGAGGAGCTCATGACCAAGGGCCAATAATATATAGTCATAACCTTCAAATTAAATTGTTAAAGCAAATGAGTTCTGAGCATATTCGGATTTCCTATAGCAGTTCTTGTGGAGTGACCGGAAGAAACTGCTGATACTTTCTTGGGATTCAAAACCTAAAACAAAAGTCACTCCTAGCAAATGTTTGCTTCTTGAGGGTGGAATCTTAGGCAAATTATGTGCACAATCAGTAGATTCAAGATCAACACCAATAAATAGGTAGGTAGATTCATTCTGCTGATTATTCAGGACACCTACAAACTGATTGCAATTCCATTAAGCAGATTGCATTCCTTGCAAACTCTGTTAACCGAAAACATGACATTCTTAAACAGCAAAAGACAACACGCCAACTATCATATAAATGCCACCTCATCTGCCACGAGTCTAAGAATGCGATGTCTTTTTCTTATTTTTTCCAAATTTTATTTAAAAATTACAAAAATAAAGGAATAAAAAGAATAGGAAGAGAGAGAAAGGAAAGAGAGGAAAGGAAGAGACAGAAGGAAGGGGAGGTCAGCCCAAGACAGATTGATGTCACTTGACTAATAGAGGATGTGAAGATTTGCAATCTGTTTAACAAAATGATAGTTAGATTACTTAATTGCAAATATTTTTTTTATTTAGGTACCAAATTGACTATTTCAGTAAAGTTCAGGTAAGATATGTGTAATTAACCAAAATTTTATTTTCTTTGCTTATTAAGCGCTGATAGATAGATCACAAGGATAAATGTGATAGGAAAGTGTGAAAATAATCAACAATCCAGACTAAATTATTAATGAAGTTAAAAAATAATTATGAATTCATTCCACAACCTACCAACCATCATCTAGATGGAATGCCAATTGATAAGGACAAGAAGGATCAAGATCAATGGTCTGTCTTTCGTTTGGAACAATATCTGATTGTGCCTGAAAAATGAAGGGAACAATTCATCAAAAAACTTATTTCACATTCAGGAAAGGAACAGGGGTGATTCAGTTTTTACTGTAGCATGATAGTTTGTTCCCCTATACTTCATATTCCATAACCTATGATCCCTTCAATCTGCATATGTTTACATAAATAACTTATTTCTTAATTTCACATTATATAACTACCAATATTTCTGGCAGTATCCGACCAAATGAGGACAATCCCAAATCTTGAAGATATTAAATGCAGTTTTGTCAATGTATACATCAGGATATTGGACATTCATAAATATGGTCCTTCACAGGCATCGAATTTATCTAAAGGCCCATTGAAAAAGAAAAGCTAACAGTAGGAAATATGTTTCCTGAGGGAAAGAACGTGACCAAAATTCATCACAGCATACCTTTAAATATCCAATCTTTGCATGCTAACTTCAGAGGCATTAGAGGTGGACGAACATCACAAATTTCACTACAAGCATCAATAAGATACTACGACTTTGTCAACTTTCAAAGCTATATTAACATGCATAAAGATAAGTCACCAATAACTGGATCCTGACAGTTAAAAAAATGTGGCAATGATGGCTGCTGCACCCTTGGACCTGTTTTTCTTAAGCATGGGTGTTAGTGCTAGCAACAGTCCAGCATACTTTTGCCAATATGCAACATGCTAAAAGCAGGGTAAAACAAAGATTTGTTCATAAAGGGGTGGCTGATGAAGTAAAATCTTCATGATCTTACAAAACTCAAAAGTAAATACACCAGTAGAAACTGAATAACCAATATTTATTATGCATCTGATACGAGTTCCAAAATTGTCAATACTCTGAATTAAGTGTTCTTTCTTTCATATCATCCTAATAGAAGGGTTTGGTTTTGACGTATATGGAAAAATTATACATTCAGCTACATATATACCATAAATGTAAAAGATCTAACAGCTTAGAAAAGCAGTGATATTGATTTCGAAAATTTTTTAAGTTTAAAAGTACAATCACAAACTTGCATTTTCCCAGAGTACAAGGGCATGGAAAATATATATTTTCAAATATATGTTTAACTAAATGAATATTTATCAGAGGGAGTGGATTTGGTGTTTAAGAGTAAATGACAAATTTTTAAATAATTTAACTCTAACTCTGTACAGAGTTCCTTCTTACAAAAGATGCCTGTTCTGTTGGTGTGTATTCCAATATAAAAGTTAGAAATTCAATGTCTCACCTCATTATGACATTGGAAAGAAGCAGATGTTCTTCCTCCACGAAGATCCCACATATAAATATTAGCCCCAATAATGGTCTTCATTAATGTGATAAAAATGCGGAAATGGCCCAATCTAAGCCATCACAAAACAAAGATCAGTAATTGAACAAAACCAACCATAGAAAATAATTAAAAAAATTTTTGAAAGACCTCGGAATAAGAGTGACTGTGGAAGTACTTGGGATCTAATTTTCCGTTCAATTCAAGCTCGCTTCTTCGCCATAGAGGCCTGGACGCCTCCTTTGGATTCGAAAGAACACTTAGAATTTCATCAACTATTCAACTCAGAAAAATGGAACAGAGAATGAGAGAAATTAAGAACGAGTTACCTTGGTTTGGGTTTTAAGGTTTCAGTTGAGGGTTCGAATGGAACCAAATATTTGTCCATTACAACAAACAATTGATTACTAACAATCAAGCTTTTTTCCCACTTGACATGCTCTTTATTCAGTGTTATGTTGCAAATTTTTTTGGGTTTTGTGCTAGAAGTTTACGGCATTTTTTTGTTAACCGCGCCAAGTTGGGTGGGTCGGGTTTGGGTCAGGTTGGAGGTAGAGACTCGGGATTTCCAACTGTGCTAGTACTAATGAAATTAAGCCTTTTGTTCCAGTGGACACGATCGCAAAGCATAAACAGGCAAACTGAAACCTAAATCCAATAAGAAAATGTATCCCAAGTACTCTAATTAGATTTCCCAAACTTACATCATTCAAGAAAAAAAGCCCTAAAAGAAGAGATAAACATATAAAAGAAACATTAGCAAAGAGATTCTAGAAACATAGATCTTTCACAGAAGACTAAAAAGAGTAGTACATTATTAAGCTCTCTCTCCCCTGATCCTCCTAGCCAGCTGAATATCCTTAGGCATAATGGTAACCCTTTTGGCGTGAATAGCGCAGAGATTGGTGTCCTCAAAGAGCCCTACCAGATAGGCTTCAGCAGCCTCTTGGAGAGCGGCCACAGCGCTGCTCTGGAACCTTAGATCGGTCTTGAAATCCTGAGCGATTTCCCTCACCAGCCTTTGGAATGGAAGCTTCCGGATCAACAACTCCGTGCTCTTCTGGTATTTCCTGATTTCTCTCAACGCCACCGTTCCAGGCCTGAAACGGTGAGGCTTCTTCACTCCTCCTGTGGCTGGGGCCGATTTCCTAGCGGCTTTCGTCGCCAGCTGCTTACGTGGCGCCTTGCCTCCCGTTGATTTCCTGGCTGTTTGCTTAGTACGAGCCATTGATTATCCGCTTAGGAAGATTTAGAAAATGATGGAAGAATGACTGTGTTTGTAGATGATTTGATTAATGAGCGGCCAGAAGGGGAAGTGAATTTGGGAGTATATATTGACAAATTTGAGAGAGGGAGAGAAAGAGAGAGCGCACGCGGGAACTTCGAAATTTTTCATTGATTAAATCTAGACGGTCCATCGACGGTTGTGAATCGCTCCTAGAGTCCGCAATCCGTGTGCACTGCAAACTACCAATAAGATTTCTTTATCAAAGTCGCACGGATCATTATCCGTGACACCAACTTTTAGTATCTAATCATGGTTTGTTGTTCAATGCCGCAATAATGAATTACTTGTATTATTGAAAAAATATATATATTTATTTATATAGGATGCATTGATTTATAATAATAATAATAATATATTTTAAAATTTTCGTAAAAAATAATATATAATTTTTTTAAAAAAAAATTTATATTTAATGTATTAATATAAATTATATCACATTAATTTTTATATTTTATATATATTTAATACAAAATAAATAATATAAATATATGATACGAATTATTAAATTTATATAATTGAAAAGTCCCTTATAAAACACGACGAGGTGTTAAAGAATTTGATACGTTTCGAAAAAAATTGTGTGAAAAATGTATTTTAATGGTAGTAGAGGTTTTTAATACTTTCATTATTTAAGATGCATTCACATAAAATTTCAAATTTAAGGGTGTGTTGGATGAGTAATTTTAAAAAGAGATTTTATTTATGAAATATTTTTAAAATTTTAAAATATAATTATTTTATTTGGTAAAATAAAAATTGAAATTATCAAAAATTATGGAATTGTACGAGGAAATGTGAAATTTGTGAAATTTTTTTATTTTATAATAAGAAATAAACATTTATTATTTTTTTTACACAATTTTTGTTTTCTTTAATTTTGACTAAAAAATTCATTATAAATTTTATTTTTAAAATTTTCAAATTGTTAGTAATATATACATATTTTTACAAATATCATTGTTTTTGGTTATAATTGTTTTTGTCTCATCAAATTATAATATTTAAACTTTCTTTCTAAAAAATAAATATCAAAACAATACAATTACAAAAATTTTATTATTTTGATTTGATATATTTCAAAATGCTAATATTTTAAAATTTTTCAAAATTTTAAAATTCTTAATCCAAATGCACCCTAAAGATCTTTTTCAAACTGTAAAGGTTAAATTTTATATTATAACAGTAAAATTAAAACCAGTTGTTGAGATATATATTTGAATACAAATGTAGTGATGACAGTGAAAAAATTATAATGAGAAAAGAAATGATTATTAAAAATATTATATTAAAATTTGTATGCAATAAAATCTTTAAATTATTTAAAATTATAAAATTATTTTTATGTCAAATAATAATTTTATTAATAAATAATAAAAATTTTAATAAAATAATAGTAATATAATATATCAAAAAAATTTTAATTTGGGTAAATTGCATAATTGGTCACTTAACTATTGCAGTTTATTTTAAAATGATCACTAAAGTATTAAATTTTTTAATTTAGTCACTAACATTTGAATAAGTGTTGTTTTTTGTCATTGTACTATTAAAATCATAATGTTTATCTGATGTGATTTCACTCATCAAAAATAGCTTGCTTACATGGTAAATAAAAAACCAAATGGCATGACCAACTCAAAAAATAATACACGTTAACTTAAGTTTGGGGTTAAACAAATTTAGGTTTTGCTTTGGGTTTTAGAATGTGGGTTTTCTCTAAACGGTAATAAAAATTATGGTTGGAATTTTAAGGATTTTGCTATTTAGAAAGAAAATTAATGATTTTACAGTATGGGTTAAGGGTAGCAATTGGCAATTACAATTGGAGTTCAGAATTATCGAAGGTTATTTTGTCACAATTTAGAGAATATTAGGCTTTTTTGCTTTTTTGTTTTTTTATTACAATTTCAGTTTTTGTAAGATCAAATTAGGTAGTTGTATTAAGGTTTATTTTAGATTTGATAAGCAATAAACAGAATGAGGCATCAAGTGGTAAGGGATCATATGCTTTCTTATGATATGAATTGAACTTATTTATTTAAGTTTTTCATTTTTTGCCCATACATAAATCCATTAGTTTTATTTCTGTCTATACATGAATGAACTAGTTTTGTTTTGAATATTAAATATAGTTGTTGTGAACTCATTTTTTCTTATTATCGAATGTGACAAGTCATGCTTGTTATTATGCATTGTGTCATGCTGAGTGTACTATGTGGCTATTGTTTGCTTTGTCATGTATTGGAAAGGTATGTGGAGCCATGTTTAGGTCTAAATGCTTTTTGAGGCATGTAAAGGTTATTATTGTATTATATATTATTTTATGATATATTTTATTGAAAATTAAAGTGTTTAAGCTATTAAGGTTTAAGTTAGTTTAAGGTTTAATGTCTAAATTAAAATAACCCTTTAATTAAAATTTTAAATTTTGATAATTTTTTAGAGCCTAACTCAAACTATTTCTCAATTGTTATTCATCATAGTGATCAATTTGTGTATACTCCTAATATAATCTATATTGGACAAAAGGGTTGATTACTTTGATTTATGCCATGTAAAAGCTATATCAATGATTGAAATGAATGATATGATTAAAGAGTTAGCCTATGCAGGCATTATAAGATGTTATTAAAAAAGTCTGTTGGGGCATTTAGTACTTATTATATTAGGCCTCTTAGAATAGATGTTAATGCTGTTAATATGGTTGCAAGCATGCTTAAAAATCATTACATCCATGTCTACTTAAAAAATGAGTCTATCATTTATGAACATAATGTAGATGTTAGCTTTGTTGATAAAATAGAGGTGGATGTTGCTTTAGACACCGAAACTGAAGCAGAAACAAAAGTTAGATGAAAATATATTAGTCATATTATGGAGAAAAATGAAAAAGTGATAGTTCTGATTCTAATTTTAAAGAGAATGACTATAATATGAAAAATAATGATAATAATATTTTTTAGGTAAATGTAGATTTGAAAATTGAAAGAGATATGGATTTAGGTGATGAAATTAGTATTGGAGTGAATAATGAATTAGGTATTGGAGTAGATGCAAGTGAAGAGGAATATGAAAAATCAAATTCTTTTCACAATGCAGACGAATTTGATTTAAAGGGTGTCAGTAGATGGCTAGAATTCAACAGTGAAATAGATATAAAAAATTCTAAGTTAGAAAACAGGGATGTTGTTTGTTAATAAGGAGGTGTTGAAAGAAGCCATAAGACAATATAAAAGTAAAAATACGTATAAGGTCAAGTTTAAAATGAATAATAAGAATATGGTTAAGATGGCATGCAATGAAGGTTGTCCATAGAAACTGTGGGGAACAAAATTCAATGCAAAAAACAAACTAGATCCTACTTGACAAATCAAGACTTATGTTTTTTAACATACATGTCTTAAGGACATGAAAAGTAGAAACATGATTTCTAAGTGAATGGCTCAGCATTATGTTAAAAAGTTTATTACTAATTCAAAATACTCCTTAAGTTTCCTTTAGCAAAATGTGATGATAGACTTGATCATTAGTGTATCATTAACAAAATATTTTAAAGTGAAGTAAAGAGCACTTAAAATTGTGTATGGAAATCATAAAGAATAGTATGCTAAGATTTATAGGTATTTGAAGGAGCTCAGGTAAAGCAATAAAGGAAACAAAACAATCTGTTTCCTAAATTATAGATTATTTAAGATAATATATGTTTGTTTATAAGTATACAAAGATGGGTTCAAAGTTAGTTGTAGGCGTATTATCAATCTTGATGGTTGCTTCTTAAAGGGGTATTATGGTAAATACTTTTTGATAGTTGTTGGAGTTGATGCAAATGATTACATCTATCCACTAGCTTATACAATTGTTGAAAGTGAAAACTACGACTCTTGGTATTGGTTTTTACTTTTGTTAAAAAATTACTTTGAAGTTGCAAATTCTTATCAATGGACTTTTATGTCAAACAAACAAAATATTTAAACATTATCCATTTAATTTTTTATTAGTTCCTTTTAATACAAAATTAAAGTTATGGTATATAACTATAATTTATATTTTTATTATTTTGGTAGGGACTTGTGGATACAGTTATGGATATTGTACTTAATGTTAAGCACAGAAACTATGTTGGCATTTATTTACAAATTTTAAATTAAACCCTACAAAGGAAAAACATTGAAGGATTGCTTATGGAAGCTAATAAAGCTACCTACTTGAAAGGGTATGAAGATGTGATGAAGGAAATGAAAGCCTTGTCAATTTATGCATACAAATGGCTTAAAGGAAAAGATCTAGTTTAGTGGTCTAAGTTTCACTTCTCAACAATGGTTAAAAATGACATACTTTTAAATAATTTATGTGAGTTTTTAACAAAGTTTATTTGGGATACAAGGGATAAGCGTATTTTGACAATGATGGAAATTATTAGGATAAAATTTATGTAAAAAATTATCTTAAAGAGTGTAGCTACTAAAAAGTATTCGGGACCACTTTACTTCAAATATATGAAAAAAGTTGGATCATATTGTGTTATAGTCAAATAGGTGATGGTTAAAACATACTAGTGGTCCAAGATACCAAATGACATGTGGGCCATTAAACTAGCTTGTGGTGAACCTTTAATTGCATACCTGTTTATGCAAAAAATGGGATCTCACAAGGACTCCATACATATATATTGTTTTAGCCATGTTCTTATCTAAAGAAAGGTCTAAAAATTATGTCAATCCATGATACAACAAAACCACACAAGTCTATATATATTTCAACTTCATTTGTCCTATTAAAAGTGCAAATCAATGGACAAGTGATGGACCTTAAACCAATACTGCCACCCATTATAAGAAGATCACCTGAAAGATCATATAAGAATAAGAGAAGAGAAATAGGTGAAACAAGTGGAAGTCAATTCAAAATCAATAAGAAATAAAGAAAACTCAATTGTAGCAAATGTTGAAAACCAAGGTATAATGTAAGAACATACAGAGAAGAGATTAGTGATAATAACAGGTTAAATGTAGCTAGGGGATTTGTCAGACAAGCAAGAAGAAATATCTTAAAAATACTTGTAAATGTTTTGGTTTATT